GCAACGCCTTGACAATCTATTCAACTCAGGCTATGCAGAAAAGGCACCCGACACATGTACACCGAATAAAACCTGGTACTTACCTCATTTTCCAGTGGTCAACCCAGCCAAGCCACATAAGCCGCCACGACTCGTACATGATGCGGCATCAAAGTCAGCGGGTCTGTGTCTAAACGACCTACTCCTATCGGGACCTGACCTATTGCAATCATTACCCGGAGTTTTAATGCGCTTCCGTCAGTATAAAATAGCTGTGTCAGCAGACATAAAAGAAATGTTCATGAGGATAAAGATAAGAGAAGAAGATCGCGATGCTTTGAGATTTTTATGGCGCGGTGATCAACGAAGTGGACCACCAGTCGAATATCGTATGACGTCTGTTATATTTGGCGCTACGTCATCCCCATGCACAGCGTTATACATAAAAAATCGCAACGCTAGAGAATTTGCTGATAAATACCCAGCCGCCGCGTCAGCAATAATAAATAATCATTATATGGATGATTACCTTCAGAGCTTCTCCAGCGAAGAGGAAGCTAAGGAAATAACAACGCAAGTAGATTACATTCATAAAAAAGCTAACTTTGTTTTATGTGGATGGATATCAAACAATGAAAATGTTTTAAACAATAACCTCGCGCCTTCACAAGACGTTAAAGTATTAGGCGGCGATGATTCCGAGAAAGCCCTAGGTCTACGATGGGACACAAAGAAAGATTGTTTTATATTTCGAATTAATAAAAATAAAACACCTATTGTATTACTAAACAACACACGCCCACCTACCAAGCGTGAGGCGCTTAGCATAATCATGTCTATATTCGACCCCCTAGGTATTATATCACCTATCACTATACCAGCTAAGAGGATACTTCAAAACACGTGGAAGTATAAAACGGAGTGGGACAAGCCTCTACCCGAAGAATTGCAACCAAAATGGAAAGAATGGATGATGTCACTAAGTACTATAGAAACATTAGAAATCCCACGTTGCTATGATTACGGTGACGTCATAGCCAGAGAAGTACATACGTTCGTAGACGCAAGCGAGGAGGCCTACGCCGCAGCAGTATACTGGCGAACTGAAAGGTCAGACGGGAGCATACAAGTGACCTTGGCGGCAGCCAAGAGCAGGGTAGCACCGCTCAAACCTATATCAATACCTAGACTTGAGCTGCAGGCTGCATTGCTAGGAGCGCGCCTAGCACGGACGGTCATAAAAGAACATGATTACGAGGTGAATAACCTAACGTACTGGAGCGACTCTACCACCGCTCTGGCCTGGATTCAAGCTGAACCACGCACATTCAAGACCTTTGTGGCGCATCGTGTCGCTGAAATTGAGGAACTCACCAAGAAAAACGAATGGAGGTGGCTACCCTCGAAAGATAATGTAGCAGACGACGCGACACGCAGCACGCCGGAACACTTTAATTCGGATCACAGATGGTTTCACGGCCCCGAGTTCCTTAGAAAAGTTAGAGATGAATGGCCACAGGATAAAAAGGTCGTCGCCCCCAAGGACACAGGCGAAGAACGGGTCAAATGTCATTTAATCAACGACACAACAATGAACGAACATCTTCCGCGTATAACTCGCTTCTCCAAATGGACGCGACTGATAAGGGCAACAGCAAGAGTACTTCAATTTATCGACCTGTGTAGACATAGACATACTGTCGAATATAAGTGTACTAAGAAAAAGGTGTCTAAAGATCCAACATGGAAAAAGGTAAACAAAAACAAACCCGTTAGGCAAAATACGCAAAAATTATCAAGTAAAACAGTCAACTACATAACATTACCTACTATTTATATAAAACGTGCCGAAGAACAATGGATCAAAGGCGCGCAAGCCGAAAGCTTTTCAAAAGAAATTGCCGCCATACGAGATAGCAGAGCGGCGCCCGACAGTCCGTTATCAGCGCTAAGTACATACATAGACAGCGCAGGTATCTTACGTTTGCGCGGGAGAATAACAGCGGCACAACATGTGAATGAAGAAATAAAAAATCCTGTTATACTCGAGGGTCAGCACAGGTATACAAAGTTGTATATTGCGTACATACATGAAAGTTTACATCATGGCGGGACCGAGATAACAGTAAACGAGATAAGACAGCGTCTTTGGATTACAAAACTACGTCCATCTGTTAAAAATGTTATCAAGAGTTGTTTATATTGTAGAATCAGAAAAGCAAAGCCAGCTAATCCCTCTACGGGAAACCTACCGTACCCCCGTTTAGCGCATCATGCACGGCCTTTTACTTTTACAGGATTAGATTATTTTGGCCCTATATCCGTCACTGTAGGTAGGCATAAGGAAAAAAGATATGGAGCTTTATTTACTTGTTTAACGTGTAGAGCAATACATATAGAAATAGCTAACTCGCTTAGCGCAGATTCAGCTATCGCCGCTCTCAGGCGATTTATAGGTAGGAGAGGTAGTCCTAAAGAGATATGGAGTGATAACGCTACCTGTTTCAAAGCGGCAGATAGGGAATTAGGTGAAAGCGCCTTAAGCGCTTTAGGTTGTGAGTCCAATGCGCGGTCCATAAGCTGGAGGTACATACCGCCCGCATCGCCGTTCATGGGCGGAGCGTGGGAAAGAATGGTGAGGGCAGTGAAGGAAGCACTGTATGTTACATTGAAGGAAGTTCACCCATCTGACGAGACCCTCGCCACACTACTCGTGGAAGTGGAAAATACCGTGAACTCCAGGCCACTCACACATGTTAACGTATCACCAGACGAACCCGAAGCCCTCACGCCTAACCATATTTTGATCGGCCCTAACTCACATGTACCCTCACCGGGTAATTTCACCGCAGCAGACATCACAGCACGGCAGCAATGGCGACGCGCCCAGGCACTCGCAGACATCTTTTGGCGTCGATGGGTACGTGAATACCTGCCGCTTCTTCAAAACCGGCGGGAGCCCTACGGCAGCGGTACCCCACCCAAGGTTGGGGACGTCGTTGTAATCTGTGATTCTAACCTCCCACGCAACACCTGGCCCAAAGGAAGGGTGACGCAGGTGCTACCAGGAGCAGACGGAGAGGTACGAGTGGTAGATGTCATGACTAGAGGACTCGTACTCCGGAGACCAACGAAGCGCATTGTCGTGCTCCCCACGGAGTCGCCTGACGGCGACGGCGGGAGAAGTGTGCACGACGACATCGCTAAGTCGCGAGCCGCCCTCGACGTGTCGTAAACTTGTTGAAACCATGTCGAAAAGGCAAGTTCAGACACGAACATCAAAGGCGTGCGGCGGCATTCCTTTGTTCCGCGCCGCCGCTGCTTGGTTTGAACTTGCCTTTGAGCATGTACAAACATGACTCAACGTCGCAGAGCGGCCGAGCCGCGAGCTCAAATCGACAGGAATTATCCTGTCCGCGCGCCTCGCATACAAAAGGACTGTACCCGGCGAGGCGCATTCATTGTCAATTCATCAAAGCGTCAGAACAGTGTGTGTAGTTATTATATAAAGTCGATTGTAATTCGTAATATTGTGAATCTCCACTAGTGTTAACATTATCGTAATTAAATTATATCAGTGTACAAGAGTCTCTCCAGTTTTCATTTCTACAGTCCATTTGCTCTCCAAAACCACCAAGCTCGTCGAGGACAGATCCACAGCTTGATCCCTCCGAGCCCGTACAATAGTGTTTATTGAGTTACAAAGCATGCTTGTTGTTCTCAATAGGTAGGCAGATGTGAAGCTACCAGTTTCCTTAGTTAAGCTGCCGACCTAACATTAGTCATTTTTAGTGATTTGAGACCCAAATTTTGGATTTCAACGCTCAAAATACACATAGCCGGTATTATTACATTAGAGAGAAAAAAGGAAAAACCCAAAGTCTAGCATAGAAATAGGTAGGTACGTAAGTCTAAATCTCAACGTTATTGGAAACGCATCGAAGCTTACTTATTTCTGTTCTGTAACTGCCTATGTGTTCTAACCTTGTTTTTGTCCCTCCAGTTTGGCAGGGATGTCGCGCAGCGTGACAGTAGCGGTGGCGTATATCATGTCGGTGACGCCGCTGACGTGGCGCGAAGCACTAAAGGTGGTGCGAGCGGGACGAGCCGTGGCCAACCCTAACCTCGGCTTCCAAAGGCAGCTGCAGGAATTTGAGACGTACAAACTAGTTGAGGTAATGACGAATGAAATATTTTTTTAACAGGTACAAGACTTTACTAGCTTTTTGTTCACACAGAACAACTGTACTTAGTTAATTTTGCATAATTAATAATATGGACAAACACAATATTTTTTAATAACATAACATAAACATAACATAACATCACGCCTTTTATCCCGAAGGAATAGGCAGAGGTGCACATTATGCCACTGTAGGTACAATGTAACACCCACTTTTCACTATTTATGTTACGAGTCCCATGTAATAGGGGGTGAGCCTATTGCCATATACCGGGCACAATTCCAGACTCCGTGCTACTACTGAGAATTTTTTAAAAGCCCAGTAATACTTTGCCCGACCCGGGAATCGAACCCGAGACCCCTTGCTCTTCAGTCGCACTTGCGACCACTCGGCCAACGAGGCAGTCATTAATTATTAATGAGGAAAGATAAATGTTAGCATGCAGAGTAACATGCTAACATTTATCTTTATACACGCAAAACCACTGGAATGATCCAGATGTATCTGAGAGGGCATACAAATATGCCATGACCCGGCTTACTGCATGGGGTACTTTTTATCCCGACATCGGACGATGTGGATAACATATACCAGTAGTACCTAAGTATAATTATGTCTTTATTGTGAAATCGTTATCCTGTGTGAGTTTTTAAAAAAAAACTTGAATAAATGAATTTGTTTAGGTTATAAGTATTGAGTTAATACGATTATTGGCACTGATACCTTTTTTAAATATACCTACTCACTCGAATTTTCTTATCTTTGTCTATGTAAAACGTATTTTTGTTGTATTTGTGTCGGATTTCTACGTAAGAACGAGATACGCCCGTGACACCATCGAACAAAAGCTACGACGAAATATTATTACGATATCACAACTATGACTGTCATGGCGGCTGTGAACTAAATCTCAGTAATTTACAATGTAAGCTACGTCAACGGCCACACGGCGAGTTGCGGCCGCTTCGCCTAACCTCGCGTGTCTTGCTGCCTTCTCGGAACACCCACTAAATAACGGGGTGGAATGTAGGATATATTCCTGGTATGCCAGTCATCTATTTTGTAGCATTTTATTCGTTGTAGAAAATAACAGCCCCAGGACAAATGGCTTTTAAGCGCTCACTAAGGAACGAGTCGTTCTTGTCCATTCTGCCGTTTCAAATCTAATTTTCTTCTATCATTTTTCTCAATTAGGTGTTTCATGTGAACTACATTATCATACAGACTACTATATAAATTCAAAACTATTCTCAAATCTTTTCCTTATTTAATTCTCCAACTTTGTTCCCCAATTTATAAGTCAACGTTTTTTCAATGCTTTTTCCTCGAACCTTGTCAATACCTAAGCGGAATTCTACCAATGACCGTGGTCTGTGTCCCCTTTCAAAAAGGTATTTACCGTCAAGTACTATTATTAAAAGTACTGTAATCATGAAATTCCGGCCATCAAGGTATTTCTTCGAAAACTAAACCATTCAGTCAGTTCAGTAACCGTAATGAACCATTCGCGTGACCAAGTTAAATCGATAGGTACTAGTTATTGTCAAAATTAGGTCTTATTAAATTGAAATATAAATATGTTAATTATACAATCTATGTAGAGTATAGAGCTGTTCGGAAATTATAAAATTAGGCCCCTATTACTTGATACAATCTTTGTTTAGTACTGAATTATGATCCTGTTTAATATGAAATTAGGTTCAAATAAGTGAAATGAAAACATCAAAACTTCAAAGTCAAAGCATATTTCAACTAAACCATAATTTGATAAATAAATAAATAAATAGTCTGTCAGTCTGTCACTGACGAGTGAAGCTAGGTAAGTACTTATTCCAAAATATAGATTCGAATGGAGAAGCACGGTTTGTTAACCTTCTTACTCAACTTTAAGTTTCACCTAAAACACCATGATACAATTCATACTTTAGAATTTGGGAATAGTAAAACTCTACCTTACATATTGCCTTAATAAATTGCAATGTCATTTATTTATATTCAACAATACATTTACCAATAAGACTAAACAGACTTTATAGTTTGTCGTCTTTACAAGCTATGACTAAGCATTCAAAAGTTACCATCGCATGTTACTATCAAACAGAAGTTGTGAGGGTGTAGTACCTATAGCAGACAAAACCGGTGGCAACAGCAACTTCGTTATTATGGGGAAGTCAACACCATAAACCATATTGGACGCACCCATGTTCGATGGAATTGGGTCACACAAGCACATGACAGCGGCATGAGGTCATTGGTCATTTTAGGAAAATTCCATTGTTGTCTAAATTACACCATGATGTTTTTTGTCTTCTTTTTGATGTTAGCAAACACGCTTTCAGGATATTTTGTATTAAAAATTATTTCAGTAGCTTAATGGAAATGAAATGACGCATAATTGCAGTTAAAAAATGGAAAGAATTAAACAATATTATTCACATCCGTTTAATTAGCATACTTTCCGCAGGTATAAATGGTAGACTATGTTTTTATCTGATTGTGGATTATGATAATGAAAGTCATAGCTTCATAAGCTGGAACCCATATCTCATCCATGTACCTATTTACATATGAACCCTACAATTGGGATGACAACCCTGTTACCCATACCCATGAAAATTAAAAATCTAGTTAGTCCGTAAGTTAGGTAATTAAAAAATATTAGACACGTATTTTTTTATTCTGTCGTATAATAAAACAATACTTAGATAAAACGAATCGAAGTTTAGGAATGGGGGCTTAAACGCCATTTCTGCGTATAAAATGTACATAGAAGTGACGTCACGTGACATTTCAAATCAATACATCGTCGAAAGTATTCGTTTCTGTAAGAAAATAAATAATACGTGTGTAATGATTTAAAATAATCCACCAGACGGACAAAAAAATTAGACATCTACCCTAGACACACGACACACAAAAGAATGAAACAAAATAATCACCAATTTTGTCTCCAGGAAAGAAGAAGACTAAAGGAACGTTACCCGTCCTTGGCATTAGCTGATAGAGATCTGTCCGAGTGCCGTGTCATGCTGGACTCCTACCAGACCATGTTGAACCAGCGCACCATCTGCGAGGGAAAGTGTTCAATGGGCAGACAATGTCCTACTGGTAACTATTTCATTATTAGTTATTCTTCTATGAGTTATAAGGTCCTTTTTTATCGGTAGAAGTAATTCAAAGTGCGAATTAGATGAAATGATGCATAAATGTCTTCTATACTCTTACTATCAATAAAGATCAATATATTAATCCAACTTAAGTGGTATTACTATTTGGTTATCTTATATTCTGAAATGATTCTGTTTCGCCGTATTTTAAAAATAGCTACTGATAAAGGGGATCTTACTCTTACTTAGCGTCAAGAGCATACTTGATTCTGGTTAACCAGGTAGGTAAAAATATGAAGTGTTGGTTGCTGCCAGTCTCGACCATAATAATTCACTATTTTTTAATGCTTAAAATGTATAATTCCATTTTTAGCTGAAGATTAATCAGCAGCTAAAGTCAACGTCAAATTAAATTCTTTAAATACGATGGAAAGAGAATACAATTAAACCCATTATTTATATTAACTTTCTCGTCTCTGTCTTTCGCATTGACACAACTGTTGTAAGAAAGAGACGCGGATACTTAGTCGCAACACACGCCAACCGTCTATATAAAATTCTTAACGAGTTCAAAGTTGATATATCAATGTCACTGCAACTGTTAATCTTCAGCGAAAAACCACTTTGAATTACTTCAGTGACCTTTTAAGAGTGCTCTAAAAGAAAACTATCGTATTTCTCCTCACGTAGTTGTACATAGTTCAATTTGGCGCTGTAAGGGCCGACGTAGTTTTAATTCAATCGGTAGGAGGCCCCGTTATATCGGCCGGGCCTCACACCCCGACAATTCGATTTTGCTTTACCAATCTCATATTAATATCGTCTGTATGTAGATTGTATGGCCCGTAACTTGCAAGATATTGGGATAAGGCAATCTTTGATGTTTCCAAATAGCCTAGCCTATAGAATATTTGTTTGTGCTTGTACTTACTTGAGAAGCGCTGAAAACTCTTGGAAATGTTTATTTGCTTCATAACGAGAATTTCTCCGAACATTACAAAGTTACGCTCATCTAAAACTTTGCTTATATTGCGTAACAGCAGATTTAACTGTAACTTTGGAATATCATTTGGTATTTACTTTACTAAAATTTGTAGCTATTTATCAGCATGTACGGACCGACTCAAGTATTGTAATTATGTTAAGTAAACAGTGTAATCATCTTGTAAAGCACATTTCGCTCGCAAAGCAATGCTTTTAAAGTTATTGATGAGAGAGAATATCATCTGGCTCGGTATTGGCCTCTGCTACCCACGATACTGTGACACCTGAGCACTGTTCTATCGTTCGATGTTATTGTGCGCACATTCACCACACTATAGCAGTACGTGTTCCCTTCTCTCATGTCAGGAGTATGCAGAACAGGGTCGAAGCGACAACCGCGACCGAGGAAGCCGTCAGTTGCCGCAGGGTCCGCGGAAGGCCCAGGGCTGAAGAGGTCCCCGTCTACTTTATCCACCACGTCCACTGTCTCTGGGTACCGACCGCGGTCGTCGCCAGCTGGACTTTATAGTTATACTGGAGGTTCGTAATTATTGCATGTATCTGACCTGTAAACAAATACTGGTTTTTATCTTACCTTGACGATTGAGTAGCCTTTAAGTCGACGCGCAACATTGTGCTACGACGTAGCTCATTACGTTTACGTGCTACGGCGGCGTAGACATGCTACGCATTTTCACTTGTTTATTTCTCAAAGTCTGTGATAAGGGATGAAAACATGAATCAGCTAGTTTTGAGATATAACTTAATCTTTTGATACAGCACCGTCTCGTCCGACACGTTCCACGTCAGGGTTGAGCGTGACGCGCGTGACGGACCCGGTGGGCGGCGGGACGGCCATGGCGGTCGGAGGCACGGAGTACTCTCGGCGGAGGGCCGCCTCCGCACCTGCTACTCCTGCTCTCTCGCCAGCGTCCTCGCCACCCGGATCGCCACATCGAGCACCGCACAGGTAAATACAAACTGCAAGAGTCTTTACATAATGAGATTAGTTCATTTAGGATACTTGAATAGCATGTCCTTATCAAAACATTATTTTCATCGCAATACCTTGTATTCTCTGAAGTTATTTTGTTCATCGTCATCATCATCAATCCTGTTTTTATTTTAACCACAGTACGTCATATCTACGCAGGTTAATTCAATCTATCTGTCAATGAAAAATGACTTGCATTGCTGGCTTTTATCGGAACGTTTTATTAAATACAAATGAACGTTGCCTACGTTTAAAATAAAATTTGTGCTTCAACGAACTGCAATAGCGTAACATAAAGCCTGGAATACGAGAACTCATAAATTCATGTCGACGAATCAGATTTGAATAATAAACTTTAACAGGAATTCCGCTCGACATGATCCGGTTTTAGTCCATTCAACATTCATACTAAGGCTTTACTAGAATACCTACACAGTCTGATTATACTATAATAACCTTTACAATTTTATTTTTTTCCGATCGCTAGGGAAAGCTGTAGAAAGAATAAATACCTATCATGTTTTATTTTAAAAGTGGTAATACCAATCAAAGTTACGACAGGAAATAAAGAACATTCTATACCAAAGAAAATCATTTTAGCTAAAATGTAATTTTAATGGACATTTTAAACTTTTTTAAATTCATTCCAAACACAAATCCATTTATGTTCATTTTTATTTTTGCATGTTTATTTTAATTTTTCCATTTCATGCAACTAGACGCGGTTGTGCGTGGGTGATACCCTCGGTGCAGTGGGACCCTGATACCCTGTGACGTCACCACGTCGTCTCAAGAGGTCTTAATCACTCTCATCGCACCCTCACCCTCCAGAAGGTTAAGCATTTCTTTTGTTCCTCACGCTTATTTAACAATCATTGTAGCACGTCGGTCTGTCCAAGTACCTTGTTGAACTTTTTTAGCCTTTAGGTAAGTGCTGACAATGAATTTGAAAAATTGTGGACTGCTGAATTTTTGTAAGTGTCCAAAAAATGTGGAATATTGTTCAAAAGAGTACTTGAAACCTAATTAAGTTGGATTCAACAATAACGGTATTGTAAACCAATGTAATGGTATACATACATGGACACTTTGATTTTTTGATGGGGGAAAAATCATGTAATGACTTCTCCCGCTCGGGTGAAGCGAGAGGGGGTGTCAGATGGACTAAAAAACACCCCGTTCCTACTCCTGACCCGTTAAGTCCTCCGCGGCTCCGTATCGGCATCAGCCCCACTGGCCCCATCTGTAGTGGTCTAATGGCTCTTTGAGGCTATAGGATTTTTTTCTATCGGTGCAATGGTTTCATAGCATGATTGACGCACTTGATGCAATACGCATTACTCGTTCATTACATTAATACCTTTCTGACAACAATCACGAATGATTTCTAAAATCCATTTGCATATTCAACATTCAACAAATATTCAAACAAAATGGATTCATTCATACATTTTCGATATCAGAGAGTTGCACTCGTTCAATACCTACGTATAGATTATTCGACGAATAATTCGACCGCGTTTAAAAGCCGACTCCATTATTACGTTTCGTTATTGGAAATTTTGAAAAGCTGCTTAATGGATTACCTTATTTGAATGTTTAGTAATTCGACGAATCTTTGTAATAATTCTGAGAAGTGGTCGTTTCAAAAGGTTTTGCAATTACGATATAAATTCAGTTTTCCTCGGTTTCATTTTAATATAGTAAATACATAGATAGGCACTTATAGTTAATTTTATAATAAGTATTGGTTTACCTATAGAGCATATTAGGGATACTTAAGTATTTAACCCAACCTACTTACTTTTCTCAACTTAACGGAAATATTTAATATTTCATGAAGTATCATTTTAGTACCGCCACGTGGTAACCCTACCTAAAAAAAAATAAAAAACGCGCGAATTTTATTTTCCCGCGTTCCACAGATTGTTAAAAGAACACAAAAGCGAGTACAGACCACAGAACATAATTAAAAGGAACTTGCTCATCATCACGACGAGTGAGGAAACGTTGGGAAATAATGAAGCAGTTTCAAAAATAACTGACGCTACATACAATAGGAGAGTGAATGGGATTTCTTATGCTATTGTTTTACATTATCTTGAGTATAATCCTTAGCTGGAAGTACAGTGACAAACACTTTTCATTGTATTGTCGGTGTTGGTACTTAGGATTTATTTGAGTGTTTATTAGATCGCATTTCTTTAATCAGTGTGCCGCGAGCTGTCATACAGTAAGCACGTACAATATTTTCGTTATAAGTTATATCTATTTTATTCTTTTTACGTTGGGTATAATGGAGGATAGTAACAGTGAAGAAGATATGAGTGACTCAGAATTTATAAAAAATGTGGAACAAGAATTTACAGAAGTTGCTGGTGAAAAGGTGATTGAAATAAGTAATGATAATTTAGCTATGAAAGCAATGAAAAGGAAGGAAAGAGATGAAAACAATGGAAGAGAAAGTTCATTAAGCGATGAAGAGGGATTTATTACGGTTATGCGAAGAAGACCTAAAGTGTTAATCAGGAGCAATTCTTCGGAGACACAAAATGACGTGAGGGTAGACGTAAGAAAAAATCACTTTGACTTAGAATCTGTTGATAAGTATGAGGTGTCCGTTACGGCATTAGAAGAATTACCTAAACAAATTGCTATGGCTAAAATTTTGAGATCACATGATATTACCGGAATCGAACGTATTAAGTATAAAAATGTAAACAAAGTCTTAATTACATTTTTTAAAAAACAGGATGCCTTGAACTTAATCAATTCCGAAAAATTTAAAGAAATTGGGTATCGCTGTCAATTTACACACGAATTAAATATGATTCATGGAGTAACAAAAGGTATCGATTTAGATTTGAGTGAGGAGGAACTTATTAAAATTCTGGAATGTGATGTGAAAATATTGACTGTAAAGAGATTGAACAGATTAAATAATGAGGGTTCTTGGGTTCCAAGTGAGGCTATTAAAATATGTTTTCAAAGCAAAAAGTTGCCAGAATATATATGTGCATATGGGTGTCGTTTTAGAGTTGACCCATATTGCTTTCCGGTTACCCAATGTACGAGATGTTGGAAATTTGGACATATAAAGAAATTTTGCGCTAATAAAAAGTCACTATGTCCCAAATGTGGTAGTACTGAGCATAATAATTGTGAAATTGACTTGTTTAAATGTTTGAATTGTCAAGGTAACCACTTTGTGCTGGAGAAAACTTGTCCTTTCTTTGTCAGAGAAAAGGAAATAAGAAAGATTATGAGTAATCAGCAAATAACTTATCGAAAAGCACTCGAAATTTTCTCAAATGGGAAAAAGACAATGCACATGTCACAAGATAAATCCAACACGTTAGAAAACATACCTATAATAAGTTCAGTCAGCCAGAAAAGTACTTACAGCAGTATTGTGAGGAATAACTCAGTTCATAATACATCATATGGTGTAGACGAAGTGGAAAAAGAAGTAATAAAGCGAAGCACTGAAGAAGATGTCATAAAATCAACACGAAATCCAATCAGAAAAGGAAGAAAAGAGGTGAAAAATTTAGAAAACTCACAGAATTCTATGGATATAATCACAGAAGATTGTGAGCCAGAAGTACAAAATGCAAAAGTGAATAAAGAACGTCATCAGCAGCTCAAGGATAAATTTAAATTTAAACAGTTTTGGGATAAAATTAAATATATTATTATGGGTGATAGTAATATAGAAGAAAAAGTAATGTCGGTATTAAAATTTATTCTGCAAGAAGTAAAGAACTATTTCATAGGAAAATTATGTACAAACGATATGCTAAATCAATTATTTAATTTAATTAATGGATAATAGGTCCAACTACATAAGAGTTAACATAGTTCAATGGAATGCCCAAAGCCTACGCCCAAAATTGGTAACATTTACAGACCTGCTATTACGAGAAGCTATACACATTGCTATTATTAGCGAAACTTGGCTAGATATTGAATCCTACATAAATATGAGTGACTACAATATATACAGAAAGGACAGGGACGATGGTTACGGTGGAGTTGCTATTGCGGTCCATAAGTCAATTCAATGTTATCAAGAGCCATTTTGTGTGAATAATACAGGAATAGAAGTAGTGAGTATAAAATTAATCAATTGCAAGGACTTAGAACACGTAGTGTCGGTTTATTGCCCGTCTAGTGTTCAGACTCAAGCCTCGGACTGGGATAATATTTTTTCGAAGTTTTCCTGTAAGACTCTAGTAGCCGGGGATTTCAACGGACATCACACCAATTGGTCGGGTAAGTTAGATACACGAGGTTCACAAATTTTGGATGCTTCTTTAGATAACAATTACATATCAATTAACAACGGTGGATTCACACGAATTAAGTTAGTAAATGGCTGCCTACAGCAATCTTCCCCCGACATTTCATTTGTTTCGTCGGATGTGGCCATTAAGATTAGGTGGTACGTCTCTAATGAAAATTTGGGTAGCGATCACCTAATTATCAGAATGTCATTAAATATAGCAAATAGTTTCACACCTCTCCGTAAACGTAATTACAAAAATGCTAACTGGTATGAGTACTCACGAAATATAGAAGAAAATATTAACTCACTTGAAAATAATACAGATGATATTCAATACATTTATGACCAGTTTATAAAGGTTATTGACACGGCAGCGAGCAAACATATACCTTATACTAAGTGTTGTAATAAACCTGATAATAAATTTAAACCAAAGAGTTATTGGAAACCAGAGTTATCCAGAGTTGTCGCGCAAAGAAGGATGGCCTTAGTTAACTTCCGACGAAACCCAACTCCTGACAATCTTACAAAATTAGAAAGTATAACACAAAAATCTCACAAATTAATTCGAAAAGCTAAATCAGAGAGTTGGCATAAGTTTTGTGATTCCTTTAACGAAAAGGTTTCACCAACCCACGTTTGGCAACGCATGAAATGGGTCAAAGGATTTAGACAACAAAAGATATTCCCTTCTAATGAAAAATGTTTAAACTTATTATATTCCCTTACTGCAGATCATGTTTTACCAGCAGAACCCATTTTCACGTCTAAAAATGAGTTAATAGAATCTGAATTTTCAATCTTTGAACTTCAAGCTGTTTTAAAGAAAAGGGATTCTGCGCCAGGGGAAGACGGTATTTCGTATACAATGCTATACTACCTACCTATTTCGGCTCAAATAATGCTGCTTAATTTGTATAATAGAATTTTTATAACCGGAAATATACCTTCCCAATGGCGTGACATCCTAATAGTCCCTATTCCTAAAAACAATAACAATAATAGTAGTAGTGAAGTTAAATTAAGACCAATATCTTTAATATCATGTACGTGTAAAACCTTGCATTTAATGATTTTCAGGCGTTTAGAGTGGTATACGGAGAAAGAAAGAATATTGTCGTCGTCCACAGTCGGTTTTAGGAAGTCGCAGTCTTGTTTGGATTGTTTGACTCGATTAGTTACCTACATTCAGATTGGGTTTTCAAAAAATAATGCAACATTAGCCTGTTTCTTGGACATTGAGAATGCCTATAACAATGTTTCAGTTGATATAGCAGTGAATTTGCTGGACAATCTGAACGTAGGCGCTAGACTGTGTAAATACCTTTGGAGATATTTGAGTGAAAGGCACCTAAATGTAAGGTTAAATAATGGTAGTATAGTAAGCAGATATACTAATGCAGGCTTAGCTCAGGGGGACCCACTCTCTCCTCTTCTCTTTAATCTAATTACCCATAAAATATGTCATAAACTACAGAATGTGGAGGCTTCACAATATGCAGATGACTTTGTAGTGTATATTAGTAATAAGGACCTCAAATTATGTGAAAAGGTCATTCAAGATGCGTTGGATACAACCGTGGTATTGTTAACTGAATTGGGCTTAGCGCTTTCGCCAAACAAGACGCAATATTGCCTTTTTAGTAAGGGCCATAGAAGAATTATTCCTGTTTTAAAGGTATACTATCAACAGTTGACGTATACAGAAAATGTCAAGTATTTGGGTATGTGGCTGGACAGGAGTCTAAAGTGGGGCAAACACATTAATGAAATTTCGTGTAAATGTTCCAAATTTTTAAATATATTGAAAGTATTGGCCGGAAGTTCTTGGGGAATACATATGTCACACTTGCGACGATTATATATATCCCTAATTAGAGCTCGTATTGACTATGCCTGTTTCTTATATGATTGTAGTGTTAAAAGTCACGTTTCCAAACTTGATAAAATTCAAAATCAAGCGTTGAGGGTGATAGGGGGCTTTATAAAGAGCACTCCAATTTATGTCATGGAGAGTGAGTTACATGTGGCACCTCTGTTTGTTAGGAGACAATATCTAGCTTATAAATATTTGATTAAAAACAGATCAAAGTCGATGAACAGTACTAATAAATTAATAGCTGAAATAAATAGCTTAATACATAACAACAGGTATTGGACTAATAAAAAGAAACCCCTACTTGCACAATCTTTCAGGGATGCGAATCAAATCAATTGTATTTCAATGGACACTCTTAAAATGTTTAGCTTTGAAATCTGGTTGTCAGCTGTGGGTTTTCAGAAATACTTAAAAGATAACCTAGAATGTATATCTTCGGCAAAATCTAAATATGAACCTAACGTCCTAATTAACAATGTACTGAGAGAATTATGTGTGAAGTATGAGGGCTGGCATAAATTATACTCTGACGGTTCCAAGGGAGCTGATGGCTTGGGCGCAGGTTTTTATGATCAAAGCTGTAATTACAAACAAGGTTTTAAAGTTATCTCAAATGTATCTATAATGACGCTTGAACTCATTGCAATTCATCAAGCTTTGATTTACACAGTGAGGAATAATTACAACAAAATAGTTATTTTTACTGACAGCAAGAGCGCTATATTGCACCTGGCTCGATGCGCCTCTGGTTGCAGCAGAGGTACATCGACAGCCTACGACATCCTAAAAATAATTTTGAATTTTAGCAAAAATAACACAGAGGTGAAGGTGCAATGGGTTCCAGCACACATAGGTTTAATGGGAAATGAGGAAGCTGACCGTCTGTCGAAATTAGCTGCTAAGGAAGGAATGCAACTTGATTATACACCTGATTATTTAGAATATTTACCTGAGTTTAAACAGAAATGCTTCGATGTTTGGCAAAATCATTTTACAGTGACATCAAAAGAAAAAGGCATATGGTACAAGACCATTCAAGGTAACCTTCCTCAGATTCCCTGGTTTGAGAATAGTAAGGTAGGCAGAAATTATATTAAGTTATTGTTACGATTACGTTCCGGACACTATCCATCAGCGAAATTTGGGTTTCTAATGAAAAAAATAACCTCACCCAATTGTACGACGTGCAATGTTATAGAAGACGTTCAACATCTACTGATGGATTGCGTCAGGAATCAAAGTCAACGGAACGATCTGGTCAATGAATTCCAGCTAAATATACAAGAGGTAGGGTTGATACAATCTATTTTAGCTCAGCCAAATTCTGAATTAGCAAAACGATTGTGTCAGTTGATGTATTTCGTTGACTAAGTTAATTAGGAACTTTCATGTTTAATTTTAAGGTTTTGTTTATTTTGTTTATATAATGATTGTAGGTAGTATTAGGTACGATGGGGTTGGCGTATCCTCATGGATAAAAACCCTGTATTAATTACATGTAGAATAAAAAAAAAAAAAAAAAAATTTCTTTAATCGTTTATTAATTAATAGTCTAACCAAGAATATTGTATCACCCTTGATGGAAATCTGTAGCTGCGAATAATTTAACCAGTTCAAAGCAGGAATAGGAACAGGATGGTTTTTAGCCAGTAAGAGTCTGATACTCCCACTAGCCTCGCCTAAGGCGGGAGAAGTCATTTGATGATTTTCCCCCCTCAAAAAAACCCTCGATGAGAGCGAATCTAGATTTATTTTCTCTATCTAGAATTAAGATTATGAAAGATACAGTGCTGATCCCGATCTAGACTGGTTATAAAATAGATGGAATAGGTCTACATAGTATAAAACCAAGTCTATCCGCCGTCTGTCTGTCCTTATGTATGCTTAGATCTTTAAAACTACGCAACGGATTTTGATACGTTTTTTTTAATAGATAGAGTAATTCTTGAGGAAGGTTTATCTGTATAATACATGCATATTGCACCCGTGCGAAGCCGGGGCGGGTCGCTAGTATAAAATAAAAAAGAATCACAAAATAAATGGACATCGATTGTATCAAAACTGGTCCAACAAATTCGTACATAAACGTCGTAAGTCAAATATTACCTACATTAACAATAATACTGTCTTTTCCGCAATGAATTTGAAGTTCAGTTATGATTATGAACGTGCGAAGTATGGAGTAGACAAATATTGTGGTAAGCTCATTGGTGTGGGATAATGCTGTAACTGGATTAGTAACGACTGGCGTTTGCTGGTAACGCTGGTATAGACGGTTAGACGCAGCTGTGGTCTGTTTACACAAGCTGAGGTTATGACCTAGTTCAGACATTAGCGCTTGACTTTGCACTTTAGTGTTAGCATTTGAAAGAAGTTTTTTAATAGCTCAGTAGATGATTATGTTTGATGGTTTATCTAGACTACATTGATTTAGAAAAGTAAAATTTAAAAAAGTTAAAGTGGCTATAGTACTTACATAGTCTTGTTATTATTTAGGAAGGTTTATGCTGCAATTTGCTAATATTTCAAATTCAACTTGTAATAAGAACCAAACCCTGAAAATCATGCTTGGAAGTTACGCTTATAACCACTTGATCAGCGACGAGGCAGATAGGTTTAATCAAGCGTAACAAAGTACGCTATGGTGCCTATATCTACTAGCATTTTCAAGCGGACATTACGGCTATACTATGCGCATGGATGCCACCTAATTGCCATATAGGGCTTCGCAATTTACCCCAATTGCCATAATATTTTCTTCAAGTACTTAAGTAGTAAAAACCTAAGACATGTAACATAACATCACGCCTTTTTCTCTCCGAAGGGGTATGCAGAGGTGCACATTATGCCACTGTACAATGTAATACCCACTTTTCACAATTTATATAACGAGTCCCATGAAATATGGGGTGAGCCTATTGCCATATATCGGTCACAATTCTAGACACCGTGCTACTACTGAGAATTTTTTTAAAACCCAGTAATACTTTGCCCGGCCCGGGAATCGAACCTAGCCCGGCAGTCGCACTTGTGACCACTCGGCCACAAGTTTGTAAAAACCTAAGACTCCATCTAAAATTATGATAGCGTTCTTCTCCCATTACGAAGGTCGCGTTATTTGTACCTGCCTCTATATTTTGTGCATGCGAAAATGTGAGGGTAGCGAGCGGGTTACCTAAATGAAGTCCTTCTGTAGTAGGTACGCTAAATAAATGCTGAAAAATGTGAAAAAGGTACACGTATAAAATCCCACCTGTAAAAATTTTAATCATAAAGTATAATTGGACAGACCATATGTTATGCATATGAAAGAGCACAGGGGTAACCAGGGAGCCCTTCGTATTAGATTCATATTTAACAAGGTAGGGTCGAGCGGACATCATAAAATTTTACTGTTTCGCGCTGACGTCCGGGCAGGCTCGCGTACTCGGATGAACTAATTTGTGTTAACATAGTCTGTATGCCAAAAATAGACCTCCAACGTTATGAGATCGTGCAATGTTAATTGAAAGTTATTCCAACCTCTTTGTACTGGTCTAACCTTTTTGAAAATATTTTAACCTCGTCTGTCTGTAGTGGTTTTATTCATGTATTATAAAGTCTTTTAGTTATTTTTGCTGCTTACTCATTCGTAACATTGTATTTACCTCATTATTCAAGGCCCATCTATCGATTAAATAAACTTCACCTAATAGATAATTAAAAGAAAATTCAGGTCATGATAACAAATATTCATAAGTACCTTAACAATTTAACTAATGAATTTACCTATCGATGTCTGAAAACTGTAGGTAATTTATGTAAATGTTGTCTTTATAGCAAGTCATCGACTTACGAAGCTTCATTACTTAATGGATAATTTCGTTGGCACTGTGCCTAATGATTTTACTTACGATTCTGCGCCTGCGCTACAAATCATTTTATAATACTCTTCTTAATAAGTTGTTCTTATTTATTTTTGTCGTGTTGTGTAACTGTAAGAAGACATATACCAAATCTTACGTACTCGTGCCTACGGTTAAATCATAATCCACGTAAGTTACTGCAATACACTAATTTACGTACTTATTTCAGATCGCGTGCCCTGCAGCGGTGTTCGTAGCAAACATCCGTGCGACGTGCAGCATCAAGCCAGGCTCGAGCGCACAAACCATGTCTCACCTCCGCGTCCTCTAGCTCGTAACGTGCACTCTCGCGGACCAGTCTCATTACTCGCCCATCTAATAACCAGAACTAATCTCACAGATTAAACTGAGATTTGGTCTAAGATTGGCTGGCCAATCTATTTTATACAGGCCCTCTACGCACTATCCATCACGTAGAACGTGAGTGACATGTCCGATTGCCGCAACTATCCCCAAAAAGGGAGAAAATATCGTAAAACGGAAATTATTCCGGCTAGAATAACGAGGTTTCGTCCAACAATACTCCCTAATGGTCGTATAGTGAACTAACGATTAGTACAATGTATCATGCAACAGAGGGCAGCAGGGGATGAATAATGCATAGAGGGCTTTAACAACAAACTAGGAACCGACGGACAACGCTCCGAATTTTAAATAGCGAGTGCTGAAACTGGCCATTTTTGCTTCTGTGGCTTAAGAATGCCAAATGAAGCTTGTAAATGTAATAAGCAATATAGTAAAGGATAGGCGTTGGATGAGAATATTATATGATATTTGGAGGTTTGATGATGCAAGGTAATTTTTAAGGATAGAGGTTTGATAGCGGTCGAAGTTGTAAGGTTGGACAAGTTGGATCAATTCTAAATTGTCGTTTACCTTCGCGGTAGCGTCGTGATATAAATTACTTCAACGAAACTAAGGACTTAGGTATGTTATAAGATTCGGATGGTGAGCCGCTATTGTAGCGGTACTCACATCCAATGTTTGAACCAAGTTCATGATAAAGTTTGACGTTGAAAAATTGCGAATTCGAAAGTAAACGTTTGTAGCACAAGTATCTAGGAGTGTGGAAATGCGACTATTTGTTAAATGCTCGCTCTGTGTTCTGTGCGAATGCACGCTAAATGAAATTACCTAATATTTCAAACAGAGCTGAGCTGAACCAAGCTGCTTACGTATATATTGAAGATTCTGTCGCTTTGCATTGCTGTGCTCGGCTTTTATGAGCCGAAGAATTATGTCCAAAAAGTTATCGGTATAATTTAAGTGTTTCATTCTAAATGTTACCGCGAAATGTCTTATTAGTTCAATTATTTATACGATAATGAAGAAATGAGTACAATGTGCTAATGTTACGAAGATATATTATGGATAGTGTAGCGTACGCGTGGTGGACATGCCCTTAGTTGGAGTAAGATAAGTTCTGGCTGGTTCAGATTTCTATTTCTAAGATTTCTACCTTCGATAAATACTTAGCTCGTATTTTTTATCTATTGTAGTTAGATCTGTAGCTAAAACTTATTTTAAAGATGCATTTAAAGTCTATTTACTAGCGAAAACTTGAGAGACCTTACTGAAAGTACTTACTTTATTTAAGATTATGGAAAAAGATCTTTATTATAAAATGAAAACCTGAATTCTATTTTACCCTAGTTACATTTTGAATAATTATAATGAGAGATATTCCAAATAGATTTCTAATCATCTTAAAGTACCTAATTATATTTTAACGTATAATTTAGTCCTAAGTCGTCACTGTAAGATATTCCACTTCGTTTTAATTGACGACAATTACAAAGTTCAATTAAGTACCTATCAAAAACAAATTTTAATTACCTACCTCTCAATACAGGGTGTAAACGGAACGTACCCAAAACACTGACAAAAAAATCACAACTTTTATTGATTTTGTTTAAGTAGGTACGTGTTATTCATGCAACGTCAGCCTTGAGCGGTTGATTACAATTACATATTTTATTACAAAAAAAAACAATTGATTCCTTACTTTTATAAAAATGAAACTTTGTTTACAATCCGTTCCGTTAATATCCTGTATATCCCTAGTCACGCGTTTAATACAATCTTCCCAACGTTTGACTAAACTTCTTCGTTCTACCTGTCTAAATCACTAATTTAATTACAAATCCTTCGCTTCAACTTAAAGTGATGTGGAGTAAAACATGTCTACAAATGATTAAGATATGTAATTGCTCAAATGGGTAACCGAATCCGTTCCTAGCACAGCACAATTTACGTTAGAGCTCAGCACGAGTTGATCAGTCGCTCAGTAAGACATTCTCTACACAGTAGGACACTTTAGGGACAAAACTATGTTGTGAATTTTTGCATATCTCTCTTTCTCTTTATTACAAGGCTTAGCCTGACTTAGAAAATTGTGATTTACTTAGATGCCTTTAGCACGGTGGCATACGTAGACAATTAATATAATAATACGTTTGTTTTATGATTATCTTATGAAATGCTGCCACTGTAGCTTTGTTATAACTCGTTTATAAGTCTGTATATATTTGTGTAATGTAAGGCAATGTTTCATTGGAAATTATTTTGTGGATAACATCGAGGAAATTGCTTTTTTGAGACGTAGCAAGAAAATGATTTGTGAGGGACTAGATTGCGAGCTTGTGTCAGATCAATGTCCCATTGTATCAAAACGACATATGTTTTGGAAAATGTGAAGGAATTTGAACTTGATAGACCATGTAATCAGTACAAATCAAGTATTTTATGAGTGTTATGTTGTATGCGCTTCATAAAGATATTTATAAATATTGTTTTTCAAAGATTCCGAGTACTCTAATGAAGCAATTCCCTCATTCAAGTTACAATCACTTAACAATTGTAACTAGATCAAGTTAATTGTTCGCAATGTGATTAATCCGCTCCAACACTACAATTAATTCGTCGAAAGCAATTTAAAAGCTTTTACGTTGATTGAACGTGAAATCCCTTCGTTAAACACATGTTTCTTTCGATTCTATAAAATCCGTCTCACTGATTGACTTATTACAGTTAGGTAGGTACGGTACCTATAAGTTTTGTGTAGATCTGTAATTTGGTTCAAAAACTTCAGGCAGCAGAGGCTTCAACACCTTTTTGGTGGCTTTTCTCATGGACCAGGGAAGGTATCAGTACCTAGTTGTTATTTATGAGAACTACTAAAAATGCTAGGTTTTGAACTTCATTCTTACGGATATAATATTTTCTAACAAAATAGTACGTATGACGCTCTTCACGCGGTTTATGATGGTAGACCTAAAACCGTTGCGTCATTCCCATTTCCAAGTCGGACTGCGGTAAATCATTAAAATCTTACTGTCGCATAGAATTTTGCTTTAGCTACGAATCTTTAACTAAATTATATTAGAGTGCCTATTCACTGATTTAAATAGGTACCTACCTATTTGATTCTATCTCCTTTCCTTATTATTTACCCACTTTAATTAAGAAATGTCAAAGCCTTTAAACTATGGGCTTATTTATTTGTAACTAAAAGCTTAAGTTTGTTATTTAGAACTATTGATGTTTTACTTCTAATTTGCTTGTAACTATGTAATTAAGTTTTACTTTCATTCACTGTCATTTACAGACTTTAATTTTAATTTAATTTTGCCGCTGTGTGAGACAAATGATCGAAAATAGGTGCTTACTTACCTACTGTATTTTTGGAACTTGTCGAAAAAATTGATACAAAATATTTGTACTCCTAGACCTTTCTCCTATAGTTTGTAATTAATTTAAAGATTGTTTAAATGTAATGGATTGGAGATCCAGTATCTGTACCTACTCAAAGTACCTTTCACTTAAAAATCTTGAAAACTCATACACATCAGTCGATCCAATTCAAATGACAATATTTTAAGAAATATTTAATGAGCACTATTTTTCGTAAATATTGAAAGTTATTTTGAGTGAAAACAATGTTAAATGAAGTTGTTGCGTACAGTAAAAAGTGGCTACTTTCTACTTTGTTTATTTGTGAGAATAATAAAAGCAAGGCTCACGTTGTTCTATTTGACTGGCTCGTCAAATTGTTAATATCGAAGATGTTTGTAATGCCGGCGCCAGACATTCGCACTTGTTTGTTCACATTAATGTTTACATTATGTGGCACGGGCATTAGATGCTATTTCATCCATGCCACACCATGTGAGCACATGTCTGGCGTCGGCTCAATTATGTAGGTAAGACACACGGACAGCCACGGGTGTTGTAATGTATAGAAATCGATTAAAAATTTTTCGCCGAATAATCAAAATTGTTGTCACCAAGCTAGTATAGTAGCTGCATTTTACGATGTAAGTACTTACATGTTAAAAATGGATTATAAAAACTGAAGTTTATAAAGAGTGTTCTATTTTATTTGGTACTCGAATCTTTATTGGTGTGTTTGACGTGCTAACTGATGGTGTGTGCGATGTGGGGACCATTCCTTTACGTAATGTAGGTAGTTCAACAAACTACCTGGACGAATCAGATTCTTGAGTATATTGGGATCTTGAGCAAAGGCGGATTATGCCTAAGGCAAACTAGGCAAGTGTCTATGGCGCCAGGTTACAGAGGGGCGCCGCGAAACACGTACGTGCCCAATTGCCCATAGAGGTGGCGGCGCCAAAATATGAGGGCCAAGCGCGCTCTCTTGGTTTTGGTTTATCCTCCTCTGGATATGAGCTTGCTTTGCACGTGTAATGAAATATATTGCATACTTACTCTTATATTTCCAAAACACGAATATTGTGAAAGCAAGAAGAAAGCTTTTGTGTTTGTGTCTTGTGTCGTCCCTTCGTCAAGTTGTCAGTCCATTGGTAATATGGAACCGTTTTTAAATACTTACGTCTGGTTCTACATTTTACCACGACATTAGCATGTCACAGTATAGCCCTCAACTTCAAAATTCCAGTAACGACCGAGTACCTTTTATTTTATTTTGTAAAAAACTATAATAGGTAGATGTAAGTAGTTATTGCATTGTTAAAACATTTTATATCATATTTACGTTATGCACACAGCGTAGTCAGTTTGTCAACGATTGTATGAAAGCAATAACAGTAGGTATTGTGCCGTGAGATCGCAACAGCCGAGAATATGGTTACGTAACTGTATATTTTTAATATAAAAGTTTAATAATAACTATTTTGTTTTATTTCATCTAATATCTTTTTTAGCCAACCAAGGAGCATATTTTTCAATTACACAACCCACTAGACATGTTTACACGCCTCGTAAAATATTTTGGGCGATTGATAGACAGGGTGAATTTGGGTAGGAATGGATCCCGCTCTACAACTTAAAACTCATTATAACACTTTTGATTTTCAAATAATGGATAGCTTAGGTTAGGCCTAGTTCTAGTAGACTAGACTGTCCTTGACCAATTAAAAATCTTGAAATAAATATCTGGAAAACATTTCTGACGAACATTTCGCAACCCCCTAGTGTCCCACACCCCGGAAAAACATTTTTACAGATTGATGGACAGGGTGGAGGTGACCCTGGATAGGAATGGGATATAATTTGACGACTTGATTTACTTTGACTTAATATCCTGTGCCTCCTAGTTGGGGCAAATGGCGTCCAATGGAGTTCTCCATCGCGATCTGTCTTGAGCTTCACGCTTCACCTCACTCCACGTCATACCGATGCTCATCGCTTCTGCCAGCGCGGTGCAACGCCAGGTTAGCCGAGGACGGCCACGCGTTCTTTACTCTTGGGGATTCCAGTTCCAAGGCTTGCTTGGGTATGTGGTCGGCATCCCTTCGGAGCGTGTGGCCTATCCATCCCAACTTGCGGCGCTTAATTTGACGACTATCTACTTAACGTCCAAGTTTGTACACAAGAACCCAGTTCCCGACGACAAATGCTGCAAATCGGCTTATACCTACATTTTTTTCTATTTTATCAAGTATTCTTTTTTTAGTATTTATATTGTGCTTTTCATTAGAATGGAAATCCCATCTCGTATAGTAGGTATCTTAATGACTTCTTCGCAGGGCCAGGAGGTATGAAAAAAATGGGCCTATCCAAGATACAAAACCCCCAAGATACAAAATCAGAAAACATATTGTCTATATGGAGGAGGGTCGTGGTGGCCCGGAGGTTTAAGACGCCCACTTCTTATGCATGGGGGTGCGGGTTCGAAACCTACCAACGGCAAGTACCAATGTGACTTTTTCCGAGTTATATGTACTTTCTAAGATTATTTAGACACCACTGATAAACGGTGAAGGAAAAACATCGTGAGGAAACCTGGGCTTATAATTTCTAATTTTAAGTATGAAATCGCCAACCTGCATTGAGCAAGCGTGGTGATTAACGCTCCAACCTTCTCCGTGTGAGAAGAGGCTTTGCTCAGCAGTGGGCATTTATAGGCTGTTGATGATGATGATGATATGAGGATGTTATACATGGGGGGTTACATAGTCTGTTTGTCCTTTTTGTAACCGCCATTTAAGAATCTTGATTGATGCGCCAATTTTTATAAGTTTATATGGTATTTCAACAGCATCTGCTTTCTGATTATTTCTTAATGTTGATATCATTTTCTATTTCATGGTGATATCATAGAGGGGTACGGTATATGGGAAAAATAAATAAAAATACCAAATTGTTATATCAATATTATTATTTATTTATACATATACTTAAAAACTTGGAGCTAAAACAGTTTTTAATTAATAAAATATCTAACGTTACTTCATGTTTATATTTCTTTTCAACAATCATTCAGGCGATACGTGTACTAACTGTTCTACTTCTGTTACAAAAATAAATCTTTCGTTAGAGGGAAGAAAGCCTCTTATATTACAAATTGGCCTATGTCACATAGATTTGTGTTAAAACTTCACTGTTACACCCAATGGTATTATA